ATTGTTATTGATTACTCTGTTAGCTCAAGTAGCAGAAGTCCTTGTGGTGGATCTAAAGTTTTCAACCCTGCAGATGACCCACATGGGTGTCAATGTGATGCCACGTGATGGAATTGGTCTTTTTTGGTTTGCTTTTTTAAAAGCTAGGAAGTGACACACACACACAAATTATGTTAAACAAACATCAGTAAGGGTTGCAAAGTTAAGCACTCAAAAGTTAGGAAATGCCAGAATTAAGGTGGCCCGTGCAGACCTAGTTTGGCTCCCTTGGGCATATGTGTTATGATGCTACCTTTAATTACATGATCATATACTATTTGTTTCCACAGGACCCCAGCCTCACTCAGGGCACAAGATGGATACAACTCAATTAATCAGCAATTATTCAATATTTTGTTTTCTCATTGTTTTGTGTGTGGCTCCATGCCTTGTTTACTGCACACTATTTAAACCCTGCTCTGAAGACAGAATTATTAATTTCCTCCTGGGCTTTCTATGGAGCTCATCCCTATACTATGTAAATACTTCACAAACAATTAATTTATTTCACCACACCCCTATGGGAAGAGGGGATGATAATATCCCCATCTTATGGATGGGGAAATAAGACACAGAGATCAAGGTCAAAATTTCTACTGATTTTGGGTGCCCAATTTTAGATAACTAGGACCTGATTTAGAGTACTTAGCATCATACAGGACTTTATATGTTCACAGTACACCTCTCACTGACTTCAGTTGCTGCTGTGAGTGCTCAGCACCTTTGCAAGTCAGACCCTGAAGTCTCAAGTCAGGCATTCAGAAAATGAGGAACTAATATTAGTGGTCACCTGTGAAAAGTTTGATTTAAGGGACTTGCCCAAAATCACACTGACTCTGTGGCCCATGGCCTGCCGGGGATGTTTGTTGAAGGCTCCTTCACAAAGCCATGAACATGGACCTGTACCTGGCGCAATTCACGAATTTCCCCAACACCTGTCCTTCCTGCAGTGTGGGGGAGACCCTAGCATGTGTCTACATAGGGTATGTCAGGTTGCAGCCCCTCTTCCAGCTCATCCAGAACCTCTTACTGAGCTGTACTTTCCCCTGTTCCTGGCACACCACATCCATGGCCCCACAAAGTTGTGAGACCTTCTTGTCAACCTTCTCCTGGCGCTGGCCAAGATGACAATCCACGACTCCAGGAGGAAGAAGCTAGATGGGCAGGGGTGCTCTGTGACTTAGGGCCTATATCTGTTCCCTTGTCCATTCTCACCTTCAGGCAGAGTTCCTCCTTAGATGCCTCTGGATCCCTCGTTATTAACCTTTGACCTCACTTCCGCTCCTATTTTTTTTCACTTTTTGCCCCCAGAAATCACTAGTAACCTGAGTTCAGTGGTTCTGCCCCTTTAGCGGAGAGGGCAAGCCTTTAGTTTTGGGCAATCCTATTCCTGCCCTTCCTGGTACTACTAACAGTACAGTGACTCTGTGGAAGAGGTAGGAATAGAATCCAATTCTCCAGGGCAGCATTCACTTGTCTTAACCACGAAACCATCATTTCTCCCCCTGCAATTCCTTGCCTCATTCACTACACATCTTCCAACTTCTGCAATAACCAAGGCAGGGTCCTATAGACCAGTGCTTCTCAAGCTATCTGATGTGGGGGACCGGCAATTTTTTTTTTCCCAATGGGCCAGGGACCGGTGCCATATTATTATCCTATTTGATGCTCTTATGAGGAAACTCGTCACGGACCGGCAGCCGATGGCTCGCGGACCGGCACCAGTCCGCGGACCACCACTTTGAGAAGCACTGCTATAGACAACAGCTGACTGTCTCCCCATATTCATCCCCGGAGCAGGTTCATCCTGTGCACTAAAAGAGGTGGAGTCTGGTGTAAAAAAAATAGTATGTGATCATTGTGACTGAATGCCCCTCTGCAGTCACACCCTACACACTACTGTAATAATTTTTGTACAAAATATGCCTGGTGAGGTATTATTTGAAAACTGATAATACATTGATCAATATTTTTGTGTAATATATGTATAAAATGCATATTAAGAGTTATGAACATAAGCTGAAATTATGACTGAAATGTGTTTACCAGACAAGTCTGAGGAGGGGGTAAACCTGTTTCTCAATCACAAAGGACACGCTAATGCCTCTAGCCAGGTGTCAGCAAAGTTGATTGGCAATCACCGGTCAAGTGGCCATTCTTTGGCAACAGAGGACGGCAGGAATAAATCGATCTGCATTTTAGTAAGCAACAACATGGAACCTCTTTCACTCTCTATCCTCACAGTGGGAAGGCACTTTATCCCTCAGACAAATGCATTTCAAAGGTTGAATGGACTATGAAAGCGAGGGACAAAAACACACCAGGTAGTCTCTTTCGCTTCCTATTTCTTTCACCTAAGACAACAGCCTTTGGACTTTGGGAGGAGTTCTGACCTGAGAATTTGGTCAGCCCTGTTGCTAGGAACATGTGGTAAGGATTTTACCTTGAACCAAGTCTAGTTTGTTAAGTTTTAGTTACTAGAAAGTGTTTCATCTTTCTCTTGTAACCATTTCTGACTTTAATACCTTATACTTGTACTCATTTAAAATCTACCTCTTTGTAATTAAACTTGTTTTATTCTTTAATCAAAACTAATCCAGTGTTGTGTTTAAACTGAATTGTTTGGTGATGCCAATTAAAGTACCAAACTGTTGTATATTGACCCTTTACAGAGGCAACAGACCTCTAATATCTGAACTGTCGCGGAGAGAGCTGTACAGTGCAGAAAACACCTTTTGGGGAAAATCCAGGACCGGGAGTGTGTTGGGGTCACCCTGAAAGTGGAAGCCAGAGCGTGACTGGAATGCTGCTGGCAGGCTGCAACTATACACAGACACTCAGGCTGTGACCTGCATGCTGTTTTGCTGTTTGTGAGGGGTCCAGCTTGGAAACTACAGCAGCAAAGCATTGTGAGACACCCGAGACTACAGGGCAGGTGGTGACACAACCCCTCACTAATCTGGACTGTACCCCAGAATGTGATAATCATGTAATTGACGTCTCTATAATAATAAATATGCTCACAAGGAGGCCAAATTAAGCCTGTATAGGCAATTTTAAATCTGACCTTTCTAAACTTGTGAGTGCTGGACTTTGTTATCTTAAGCATTATTCTTTTAACATGGCTTTCTGTGTACAGTTTAATTTACTTAAAGAGGCTGTTAGACCTTAGAAGTGATGAAAACTACCATCTAAACCATCTTTTCCTAAGCCACAGGAATCAACTATGGATATCTAATGAGGACACATGAAAGACAAAACAAGTTACAGTAAAAATTACATTCCATGAATTCGACAAACAGGCCAGCACTGACACAGCTGGGACAGCAAAGATAATTTGGAGGGCAGCACAGCAGGCACTGAGGATTCCTGTTATTCCCTCCTTGTATGAAACTCCTCAGAGGAAGAGGTGTGCTGGATCTCAAGTACCAGTAGGAGTAAAGCAAGCGGGTCTGCTGGCTTTGCAAATAAATGCCCTTTCCCAATACAGATTCCTGCGTGAAGCAAGCTGGTTTTGTTATTAGTAACACAGGTAAGGGAACTAATTTTAAAGTACTTTTAACCAGCTAGTGACTCACTCAAGGTCATATGAGAAGTCTGTGGTAGAACTGAGAACACAGGAGTCTTGGCACTTAAGAACCCCTTCGTCCAAATCTTGCTCCCTCGCCATTCTCTCTTGTTTTTACTATTTAAGCTTGTCTCTTTCTTATTGCTGTGTCAAGTGTTCGACTCTTAAGACAGCATCATATCAACGCAAGCCAGTGTCTCATTTCCTGAAACCAAAGCTTTTGCTGATGCCTCCCTTGTTGTCATCAACCCTGCAATTTGCCACCCCTTGCTGTGCTCTAACTCAGACCAATCTTCTTGTGGCAAGGACCATTTTATTTTTGCTAAAGTGCCAGGCTCATCGGTGATGCTATTTGAATAAACACAGAACCAGACGATACCAAAGAGAAGGGGTAAGACAAAAGTATTCATTCACGGGGGGAAGGGGAGAGGTTTTGTATATCCCGCTGGGGCAAGTGAATGTTATGGTTATAGTTAAGTCCTGTCCACTCTATGGTAATCACCATGAACTTTTGACCACAGCATAATTAGGGAACCAGTGTAACCAACATATGGCTTCATTATAAGTCTGTTGGAGTTACCTCTTCAAGAGGTCTTGGGGGAGAAATTCACATAATCCAAATTCCACTCCCTGGGCTGCCACAGGGTAAATTCCCTTCTTCTAACATTTATAGACTGCTTCAGGACACAGACACTATGGATGACAACCAGCCAGACATCTCCACTGGTGCAGCATCCACCACCAAGATATATCACAATGTGAGATCAGCAGATGGATGAAGAGCTGCTGGCCCAAGAGCAAGCCAGGGAAAGGAGAAGAGATACAGATATGTAGCTGGGGAGCGTGGGGGGAATGATGCCAATACCCTGCCCTCACCACTGATTAAGGTCCTCAGACACAGATCATCCAGGTACTAGGACCCTTTGGGGCCCCAGTGCTCCTCTCTCCTGGACTGCCCCACTGGTGGGCAGCGCTTTCTTCCACCCACTGGCCAGGAATCTCTGCCTGTGACGAAGCCCTCGCCCCGGGCCCTCCAGCTCACTCGCCCCGCTTGGGCGCAACAGCCGCCGCCCGCCTGCGGCCCCTCAGCAGCGGGGCTGCGGAGCGACCCAGGGCAGCGCCGCGAGTCCGTGGCCCCTGCCCCGGGGGGTCACCGCCCTGCGCCGCATCTCCCGAGCCCGGCACGTTGGGACCTGCTGCCCCAGAGACGCCTGGCCCGGGGCGCCCCGTCAAGGGGCTGGACAGAGCGCGCCGTCCGGGGAGCGGGGGCGGCCCTGCTTCGGGCGGCGGCCGCTCTGGGGCCGGGCAGGCCGCGGCCCAAGCCCCCCAGCCCCGGCCCGACCCCGGCCCCCTCTACCCAGCCCGGCCCAGCCCCTCGGCCCGGCCCCCTCACCTTCAGCACCCGGATGCCCCCGCGGCTCCCGGTCCGACTTCCCCGGGCGCTGCCGGCTCCCGCCACCTCATCCTCCTCCGGCTCCGCCGCCTCCATGGGCCCCGGCTCGGCCCCAGCCTCCCCCATCAGCAGCAGCGCCGGGGCAGCAAGCGCCTCGCGCTCGCGCTCGCAGCCGCGGGATCCCAGCCGCGCCCACGGGCTCATTAGCATAACGGACCCCGCCCGCCGAGCCCCGCCCCCTGCCGGAGCAGGGACCGTTCCTCAGGCCCGGGCCCCCTCAGCTCCACTGCAGCTTCTGCGGGGGGCAGGTTAGGGCACTGGGGGGTGCCTAGCCAGGGGGGGAAGAGGAGGCAGGCTAGCCCGGGGGAAGAGGAAGGGGGGCTAGCTAGAGTGAGCATTGGGGAATGCCTAGCCTGGGGGAAGAGGAGGGGAGGTTAGCAGGGGAGAGCATTGGGGGGTGGCTAGCCTGGGGGGCGGGAGAGGGGGCAGGCTAGACAGGGGAAGGGGAGAGCATTGGGGGGTGCCTAGCCTGGGGGAGAGAGAGGGGGCAGGCTAGACAGGGGAAGGGGGGCTAGCAGGGGAGAGCATTGGGGGGTGCCTAGCCAGGGGGAGGGGGGGCGGGCGAGGGGGAGCAGGGGGGAGGGGGAGCTGGGGGAAACGGGAGGGGGGGGCTAGCAGAGGAGAGCATTGGAGGGGTGCTCACCAGGGGCAGAGCTAGTAGCACTAGGAAGAGGTGCCCATTTCTCCAAGGCTGGGGGTGATAGAGAACATGCTATGGCTAGATAACCAGTCCTCTAGGAATAAAGCTCTCATGGTCATGCAGGCTCCCTTCGCTGTAGTGCAGGGATGAAAATGGACTGTACACCAGGCCCCAAGGACTGCAACAGTTTCCACAGGCCCTGGGGGTCGAAGAGCCCCAGTACTGTGGAACCAGAGCCAACAGGGGCAGCAGGTTTGTATAATTTTTGGTGGCGTGCAGAACAGGTCCAAGCCACCCCCAAAACACACACCTACCTAAGGCTCTGGGAGGGAGTTTGGATGCTGGCTCTGGGTTGGGACAGAGGATTGGGGTGCAGGGCTGGACCAGGGCTGAGGAGTTTGGGGTGCAGCAGGCAGACTGTGCTGGAGCAGGAGGCCTCCCTGCAGTCCTCTCCTTGCCTGCAGCTGCCATGCACCTTCTCCCCTCCTCCCTCCGCAGCCACCTCAACCTGCCCCCAGCACCGCTCCCCTGTAGCCGGCAGCGGCCGGCAAAGGAGGGCAGCGTGGAACTGCAGGGAGCAGCCGCCTGCTGCCCAGGGCAGGGATGGCCGCTCGAGGGAGGCGCACAGGGATAGCTGCCGGGCCGGGGGAAGAGACCCAGCCCCGAACATTGGTGGAGATAGGCTCCCCTGGGTTCTGAATTTGCTGGAGCCTGGGCACCACAGGCCCATACAACTCACCACGCCTGAGAGCCATGTCAGAGGCTTAAGACAGCAAAGCTCAGAAGTGAAGAGTTTCTGGCACTAGCCTTCACACTCCTCGTCATCTCCAGAAGAGCAGGGACCTCAGTAGCACTAATGCCAGGTAGAAAACCATTTTGTCAATAAGTGTCCAGAATCAAGATCTCTCTCAAAGTCAACCAGGGGGCCTGAAGAGCTTCCCCAGCACTTGAGAATTGACATAGCCCTCCTGCTCTTTACAGATCAAACACACCTGGATTTTGACCTCCCAAGCATAAGGGCAGGTGGCTTTTTTAGTAACCTCATCCATGCTGCCTGCAGGGCCAATGGCCCCAAGGCAGGGAGAATAGCTAGAGGGGGAAACTGGACCAATGTGTCTGATATTAGGGGAAGCAGCCCAAGAGATCTAGCCATCCCTGATTTCCCCCAACAGCACAGGCACTGAAAAAAGATTGACTAGGTGACTAGTTAGCTAACTACATTAAAAAGCAGCACCCAAAAGGTGCAGAGAAAGAGAAAGCTGAGACGACTAGCGTTAAAGACACAGTGCTCCGAGCTCGCTCCACCATCAGCAGTCAAAGGAAAGTGGAGGGAAGTGTTTCCACCCTTGTGTGTGAGGAGGCAGTGACCACAATGGACACTCCTTTCTGGCCAATACCAAGGGCACATTCACCTGAGGGGGGGTGTCCACAGGGAGAATTTCCAAAGGAGGATGCACCAGATTGTAAGTAAAAGTTCACATGCTGGAGTATGATGCTGAGGCAAGGGAAGGATGCTGTGGCAAATACCATAACCAGAGAATCAATAAAGAACTAGAGAAGTTCATGGAGGATAGGTCCATCAATGGCTATTAGCCAAGATGGGCAGGGATGCAAAACCATGCTCTGAGAAGTGTCCCTAGCCTCTGTTTGCCAGAAGCTGGGAATGGGCCACAGGGGATGGATCACTTGATGATTGCCTGTTCTGTTCATTCCCCCTGGGGCACCTGGCATTGGTCACTGTCGGAAGACAGGATACGGGGCTAGATGGACCTTTGGTCTGACCCAATATGGCCGTTCTTCTGTTTGCTTGTTTTTGGAGTGTTGTGAATGTCATTCTTTTTATGCTGGAAAGGTACTATCAAAGAAGAAGGTTTTGCAACATTTCCTAGAGGTGCTCAGACTTTGCAAACAACCAGTCTCCTTTGGAAGTTCATTCCGTAGCCATATCCCTTTGACTCAGAGCACTTTGTCCCTGCACTCATGTGCTTCACTTCGGGTTTTGTGATCTGCACTGTCCCATAGGAGCAAAACTCTTGGAGGTTCAAAGATTGATATTTGGTCTCTTATGCAGCTGGGTGTAACAAGGCACTGGTCCTGGGATGCACATGCACCCGTTCCAAGACTGGCCCCCTTTCACAGAATTGCTTTTCAAGTGAGGGCTCTGAGGGAATAGGAAGGTCATATCACTATGTAAAAGGGCATGCTGAGAGATATAAAGGCAGCTTGTGTTCTATTAGGAAGACTCCAAGGATAGAGACAATTTTCCACAGTTCCCAGGCAGAGGGAAAGGAACCTGCAGGGAGGAGAAGCCTGCTGGGAAGGTAGTGATCAGACTCAGGGGTAGGCAACCTATGGCACACGTGCCCAGGTCCTGGCCACCGGTCCGGGGGACTCCGCATTTTAATTTAATTTTAAATGAAGCTTCTTAAACATTTTAAAAACCTTATTTACTTTACATACAACAATAGCTTAGTTATATATTGTAGACTTATAGAAAGAGACCTTCTAAAAATGTTAAAATGTATTACTGGCACACGAAACCTTAAATCAGAGTGACTATGAAAAAATCCTCAGCTGAGAGATTTGCAGGAAGAAAATCTCAGCTGGGACAGGATTATAAAGGACCAGGAAGTTCTGGAAAGAGGGCAAAACCCTGGTAAACGATTGGAAGAACTACTGAGCACTGGGAAAGTCTAAAAGGAACTAGTGAGCTTGGAAAAGCAGGTTGGGAGACTCTGGCTTTGAGCTGTTTTGTTATTATGTTCTTAATTGCAGCAGACATGGGGGCCAAATGTTAGGTCTTCCCAGCAGACAGCACCAGATGACTGACTGCAAAGGGTCAGATCAGAGCAGCATTACTTTCAACTTACTCTACTTTGGGAAGCTCTGAACAGCACCAGGTGCACTAGAGCTGTTTGTCTGCAGTCAGCATGACAGACAACTCAGAATTGTTTCACATTTTTACCGTTACAACCACAAGACCTAGAAACTTACCCTTAAAAAGCAATGCTTAAAGCCTCTGTAAATCTAGGAGCTCTCCCATTCTCACCCTCACCCCCCTTATGAAGGACAGTTTTCTTTCAAGAAGATATTTCAGGCCTTGAAGGCAAATTGGTGGGGTGCTGCCCTCAAAGCCTGAATATCTGCCTCAGCAGGTGCAAACGAACCTTTCAACTCTCTGTATGGTGTTGGACAGCACCAACAGTAACAATCTGCTGCAATTAATGATCATGTGAAAAGTGCTATCAGTCATTTCCAGTTACTGCAGACAAGCGCCTACCCAAGTGAGTGGTACAATTCAAACCCACCTTCCTGCCTCAGGAGTTCCAAGCCTAGCGTTAGTTGCTGTTTGAACTTACATTTTACAGAGTGACAAGGTGGATGAGGTAATATCTTTTATTGGACCAACGTGAGAGACACAAGAAGTTAGTCCAATAAAAGATATTGCCTCACCCACCTTGCATTTCTAATATCCTAGGACTGACACGGCTACACCAACACTGCATTTTACAGAATGACAGTCATGAGCACAGCCCTACTCTTTCTGGTAGATGTGCAATTGTTCTCAGCTTTTTCTTCCCATAAAACTCAAGAAGCTGTTCTGGTTTCTCCCTTGTGGACTTTGATCTGTAGGTAAGAAAATGCCACCTGAATCCTTATCCCAAGGGTGGCCAACCTGAGCCTGAGAAGAAGCCAGAATTTACCAAAGTTCATTGCCAAAGAGCCACAGTAATATGTCAGCAGCCCCCCCATCAGCTCCCCACCCACCAGCAGCCCCGCCAATCAGTGCCTCCTCCTCCCTCCCCGCACCTCCAGATCATCTGTTTCCTGGCGTGAAGGAAGCTCTGGAGGGGAGGGGGAGGAGCGAGGGCATGGCAGGCTCAGGGGAGGGGGCAGGAAAGGGTGCAGTGGGGGCAGGGCCTGTGGCAGAGCAGTGAGCACATCGGGAAGTTGGCGCCTGTAGCTCCAACCCCGGAGTCGGTGCCCATGCAAGGAGCTGCATATTAACTTCTGAAGAGCCACATGTGGCTCCGGAGCCACAGGTTGGCCACCCCTGCCTTGTCCCCTTTAATTCTTCTCTTTGAGACAGTCTCACTGACCACACATCTCTCCTCTAGGACAAAAGGGTATTGTTTCTAAATTACTTACTTTCAAAGCTGAGAGAAACCAGCTATGATTCTCTCCTTCCTCTACATTATAAAAAGACTAACATTATAACACCATAACGTAAGATAGCAATACACCCTCTGCTGGATTAGGAACAGAGGAATTGCCAGGCTGGATCAGACCCAAGGTTTATCTCATCCAGTATCCTGCCTGACACGGGCCAGAACCAGATGCTTCAGAGAAAGATGCAAAA